GCTGTTGCTGCTGCCACAGCAACCATCCTTTCTACTACAGGCTGCATTTTTAATGCTTGTTCACCACACTGGTTTTATCAGACATCTGTGCATGGTTCCTCCTGCCAAAGGGTATTTTACTGGAAAATCAGTAGTGAGATAAAAGTGGAGATCAAAAATAATTCATTTTGAATCTGCATAACCCTGAATATTATTGTTTTCCTCTTAGTATTCACCTACTCCATTGTGAATTTGAATAGACTTCTATTTATGTTTCTGAATTAGGAGTCCTTTGAATTTAACCAAATTGTTGCATAGCAGTTTTAGATAACTGGCAAACATTAATATTCAAACTAAGTTGAACCTTCCCTTACAGCTTTGGTAGAGCAATATCTTTGAATTAAAATGATCATTTTAAGATAAAGTTCAGTTTTGTTTCAAGCAAGTATTGTTGCTTTCTTTATGAGAATTAAGATCCAGGGGAGCACTTTACCAGAAAATTAGGAACCCAGTTTTTATGCTCCCTACCCCTCCCAAATTAACTAGTACTTCATGTTTATCAGAGAAGTTGACCCTCCCAGAAATAAGCATTGGTTCTGCACATTTGCTGAGTTGTGACACGTTGAACGATATATTTCCCGACTTATTACACAAACCTCAGAGCAGCTGCAGGGAAACCCTTGCTGTTTCATAGATACGTGCACGGAAACTGGCATTGGCATTTTCTTCATCTTGGATAGGGTATTAGTGCAGTGCCTGCTCCTACTCCCCCGAACTGGGTCCTACAGTGATTAATTGGATGGGCAGCATTCAATTTAGTTTCCAGTGGTTTAGTTGAGCTTCTGTGGAAGGCTTTTGGGTATGTGGAATCTCCTCCTGTCCTCCTAAGCTGAGGAGGTGAAATTGAACAGAGTGCTGACCTTTGCACGCTAAAAGCCCCTCGCATGGCGAAATTATGGGCATGGAGTTCAGCTAAATAATCGGGGCCCATAATGAGTATGGGTTTTTTTAGATTCCCTTGTATCTTCCTCACCTCTGGGGCATCCGAAGATATACGTGGGCTTTGTGAAGGTGAGGCAGGGAGAGAAGTCTCTGTTTTGTTTTTGTTTTTCTAGACTATGTATTGCTTATATAATTAACTACTATTTTATGCTACTGTTGAGATGCTTTATTTGTTGCTGAATGAAAATCTGTCTAGGAGCTGCTTATAGGATGGACATTTTGTT